TCAACAGATGAATGGATAAAGATGTGGTACATATATACAATGGAATACTACTCACCCATAAAAAGACGAATTAATGCCATTTGTAGCAACATGGATACAACTAGAGATTATCATACTAAGTGAAGTAAGTCAGAAAGAGAAAGACAAATATCATATGATATCACTTATATGTGGAATCTAAAATATGACACAAATGAGCCTATCTATGAAATAGAAACAGAATCAGGGACATATAGAATAGACTGGTGGTTGCCAAGGGAGTGGAGGGTGGGAGAGGGTTGAATTGGGAGTTTGGGACTAGCAGATGCAAACTGGTATATATAGAATGGATAAACAACAAGGTCCTACTATATAGCACACAGAACTATATTCAATATCCTGTGATAAACCATAACGGAAAAGAATATGAAAAAGAATGTATATATATATATAACTGAGTCACTTTGCTGTACAGCAGTAATTAACACAACGCTGTAATTCAACTATACTTCAATTAAAAATAAATTTTAAAAAAGTAATTGTATGAAACAAGATGTATACAATGTGTTGTTGAACCTATAACATAATGGAAATGCAATATATTTGCCAATAACAGAACAAAGGAGATAAGTGGGAGCAAAGCTCTATTGGGCTAAGAAAATGACCCCAGATGAACAAATGATGAAAACCAGAAATCATAAATAAGAAGGCTAATATTACAAAAGATATATACATATATAGATACAATATACTACATATAAATAACTTGTTCTCTCTCATGAGAGTTCTCATACACACACACACACACACACACTCACACACACACACTTTCATTTCTTCTCTCAGCTTCTTTAGAAAGAAGACATATAATGTATTGATATTGGTATATCAATACAATGGAATAATATTCATCTTTAAAAAGAAATGAAGTACTGATACACGTTATAACATGGATGAAACCTGAAAACATTTTGTCAGTCAAAAAGACCACATGTTGTGTGATTCTGTTTATACAAAATGTCCAGGAAAATCTACATAGACAGAAAATAGACTAGTAGTTGCTTAGAGCTATGGGGGATGGAGGAATAGGGAGTTGATAGCTAAAGTGCACAGACATCTTTTTGTGGCAATGAAAATGTTCTAAAATTGACTGCAGTGATGGTTGTACATATCTGTGAATTTTACACTTTTAATGGATGAATTTTATGATAGTGAATTATATCTTAATAAAACTGTTAAATCTTTATGTACAACATTACACTGATGTATTAGTTTCCTATGGCTGCTGTAACAAGTCACAACAAATCTGATGGCTTAAAACAACATAAATTTATTTATTCTCTCATAGTTTTTGAGGCCAGAAGTCTGAAATCAGTTTCACAGGGTAAAGGTGTTGGTAGGGCCTTGTTCTTTCTGGAGGCCTTAAGACAGAATCTTTTTCCTTGCCTTTTCTAGCTTTTAGAGGCTACCTGTGTCCCATAGTTTGTGGCCCCTTTCTCCATCTTCCAAGTGCATCATCTCAATCTCTGTTTCCATCATCACATGGCCTTCTCTCTTGTGAGGACCTGTATGATTACATTGGACCCACCTGGATAATCCAGGATAATCTCCCCATCTCAACATCCCTAACTTAATCACATCCTCAAAGTGCCTTTTGCCATATGAGGCTAACATTCACAGGTTCCAGGAATTAGAATATGGACATCTTTGGGGAAGCCAATTATTCAGTTTACCACAACTGGTAAATTGGAGACAAAATGGACATTGTAAATGTTGGATCTAGAAGTTGAAAAGGAAAAGCACACACACACAACATTTTCAACACCTCTGTGACCAAATGTTTAGGTTTTTCTCCCACAACAATTCAGTTCAGTTTTCTGATGAATACTAACTGGGTATTCTGCAATTCAACTCAATTCTGACATTGTCTACCTTGAGTTAGCATCAGATCCCATAGGTTAAGGGCTCAGTCTCACGAGACTGCTTTCCACTTCACATACCAGTCTCAAGTAGTACGTTCCCAGGTTACCCATACTTCTGGCAGACTTGACTACAAATGAGGAATTCCCATGACACCTTCCTTCTATAATTTACTATGACAGCTCACATAACTCACAGAAATACTTACTTACATTTACCAATTTATTATAAAGGATATGATAAAGGATACAGATGAATAGCCAGATGAAGAGGTACATAAGGCAAGGCATATGAGAATGGGTATGGAGTTTCTGTGCCTTCTTTGGGCACACCACCCTCCCAGAACCTCTATGTGTTCTTGTTCACAAAACTAGAAGCTCTCCAAACCCCCTACTTTAGAGATGTTTGCAAAGGCTTCATCACATAGGCATGATCAATAATTAACTCAGTCTCTAGCTTCATTCCCCTCCCCAGAGGATGAGAGGTGAAACTAAAAGTTCCAAGCTTCTAATCATGGCTTGGTCTTTCTGGTGAATGGCCCTCATCCAGAAGCCTCTAAGAGTTGCCTTGTTAGAACAAAAGGTGGTCTTATTATCTAGGAAATTCCAAGGGATTTAGGAGCTCTATGTCAGGAATTGGGTCAAAGACCAAATATTAGAACAAAAGATGCTCCTAGCACCCCCCTCACTTAGGAAATTACAAAGGTTTTAGGAGCTCTGTGCCAGGAACCAAAGGTGAAGACTAAATATATATTTCTTATTATATCAGAATATCACAGAAGTATAAACCCTGAATAGATCAATAATCATTAAAGAAACTGAAACTGAAGAATTATCTCCTTCAAACTCTTTGGGTCTAGCTGGTTCTACTAGAAAGTCAACTAATGTGACCACTTTTTTGAGATTTCTTTTGTATGAATTGCCACATGGCCTTCTAAAAATCTTTACCAAAGACTATCAGGTGTCACTAACTTCCTAAACATATTTGCTACTGGACATCTCCACTCTACTACGATGCCTCACAAACACCTCCAACTCAACATAACCAAGACTAAACTCAGCATCTTTCCCCTCAACTAGTTATTTCATATATGGTTTCTTATCTTTATCAGTTTTTGAATATATATTAAAAAAAAAAACCCAACCCCTCTGGCTTAAGCCCAAAGACAACATACTAGTTGCCCATAAATGAAAAAGTCCAAGGGATAGGATAGCTTCAGGAATGGCTGGATTCGGTACTTAAAGGATATCATCAGGATTTTGCTTCCCTCTGTGGGCTTTGCCTTACATTGTGTTGGCTCCATTCTCAGATAGACATACCCTTAGCGGGTTCAAGATAACTACAGTAACTCTGCGAATTTCCATGTCTATGTCTTTTTCAATAGGTCCCACAAAAGCTCTGAGATTCATGCTGACTGTTAACAGCTGAGTTGCTGTAATGTATCTTGAAATGTGTCTAGAAGAATGGGATACACTGATTGGCTCTGCCTGGATCATGTGCTCCACTCCTGGAAATGGAGGTAAAGTCAATTCCATCTAGGAACACATGGATTGAAATTGAGAAAGGGCCTACTCCCGGTTGAAAATTGGGACATAATTACCAAGAATACATGCTGAGTGGCAACAACAACCATTGTCCACCCACTGCAGTGAGTGTTTCCTGTCTTAGCGAATGGTACCATTCACGCGTTCAAGCAAGAAACCTGAGAGTCCATCTTTAGGTCTTCTTTCTCCCGTTTGCTCCACATCCAGCACCCTACTATTACCACAACCTCCTGATTCTCTCCCCATAAATGTCTCTCAGATCTCTCAAGTTCTCTTTATTTTCACTATTACCACTCTAGTTCCAAGCCTCCAACATCTCTCTCCTGCATGCTCTACTGGCATTTTAACTGACCTCCCTGTATCCACTTTTAATTCACTCTAATACACGATCTACACTGGAATTAGAGGGATCTTTAAGAAACTAAAATCTGAACATGACACCCTCCTCTTCTGTCTCTTCAGTGACTCCTTGTTCTTCTCAGAATAAAGTGGCCTTGTGCACCACCCACTACCCCTGCCCTGACCTGTATATTACATTTGACCAAGCCTCCTTAAGTCCTTAAATGTGCCACGTTCTCTCGCCTGAAGAAATTTCTCATAATAGGCCTACCTGATACTCTATTCCTCCACCCTGTCCACTAGCACATGGCAAACCCATACCCATCCTTCAGATCTTGGCTTAGACGTCACTTAGTCCAGAAAAACTTTCCTCATCTCCTTAGTCTGGGTAAGGGGTCCCCCATTAGGCAACTGTGGCACCCTACCCCACCCCACCATAGTAGTTTTTGTACTGTATTATAACAACCTGTGCATTTGACTGAATCTTCCACTAAACTGTAAATTCTATAAGAAGAGTAAATATGACTATCTTGTTTGTTGTGGCATCCCTAGAATTTCTAGCACAGTATCAATGTAATAAGTGCTTGATAAATACTTGTTAAAGAATAATAGCTAACATTTACTAAGAATTTGCTATGTGCCAGCTACTATTTTAAGTGATTTACATGTCTTAATTAATTCAATCCACAAACACTTAATGCAACTCCCAGTTTATAGATGAGAAAACTGAAGCACAACAGGTTTGAGTGAATTGCGAAGGTTATAGAGCTAAAAATTATAGAACAAGACTTGAACCCAGGAAGTCTGGCTGCAGAATCCAAGTTTTTAACCATTATGCTATATCTTATGTATATGCAAGCATGCAAAAATGCTGTCCCAGATATTCTGAGGAACACAAAAATGACCAGGGGGGTGGAATAAGAAAGTACATAGATACATAAAATACCCAACAGAGTATTATGTAATACAAGGCTTTCTCTCTTTTAAAACACACAAACAGTAACAAAATCTTTGTTTGGTGACATGGGATTTGTTCACAGGGAAATATTTCAGTATAAAAATTCCTGAATTCAAAATGTGTTTGTGACTCAATTATACAGTGGCAGTTGATATTTATGTTAAAAATGAAAAACAAAACCAACAAGTTATTCTGGGCACTAAACCATGTTTAAAACTGCTGCATTCATGCTTTTGAAATATTTTTCTATAACTACTAACCTTTCCAACAGGACTAGCTCTTTGACATTTCTTAAGAATTTCCATGCAAGGCCTATGTTTTTCTGCTTTAAAAGAAACAAAGAGATATTATGACTGTCTGGTACTTCAGTCTATAAATAATTAAAATAACGGAGACTTCACTCAACATGCCCCCAAATTAAGTTAAATCTTAGGAGAAGTATTTTATAAGCGTATTTAATAACAAAAATTGTTATTATTTAAGCATTACTGTCTGCTTCAAATGCGTTACTTCTCTATTAAAAGAACATTTAATGATTTTTAACTTATTTCATTATAACGCTGTACAAGGTAGTTAATCAAACATATAGAGAATAAAAACACACTTAACATATTCAACTGAAAGAAATGCTGCTGGTGGTATAATTTGTGGGTCTCTGAACCCAGTTTAATGAGCTGTGGTTAAAACAATACACTTTTCAGTGACCAGGAACATCTTCCAAAAGGAACAATGGCCACTTGCTGATGACAATCTAAAATGTTCTTGGTTCTTTCAAGTCTATAGAAGTTTTCTAACAAGTGTAAAATAATAATACTATCTGCTTACATTTGTGGAAAACGATGTTAATAGCCTGTAGCATATTCATGATAAATGTAATGTGAACAAGCTTGATTTCCTCTCTGAAAACTGGAGAGGTGAATGGATTTAATAATACTTAAATAATATTCTTAGAATAGTAAATGTTAGGATAGTCTGCAGAGGAAATATATATATCTCATTCTCTAAGAAGTACTTAAAATTGGTCCAACCACTCAAGAGTGAAAGAAGGCTTACCTTAGGGATTGAATTGGATGACCACCTTTGAAGCTGTAATAAATATAGCAAATGATTAAAAAATTATTTACTAGAGTAAACTTCCGATTTGGGCCTATTTAGGGAAAGATCAATTTGAAACAGATAAAAGGCTGGACTTCAGGATAATTTGAAATAAAGTGCTAGTATTTTGAAGAAATTTTTAGTAATTTGAAAGAATATATTTAACAAAATTTTAGTGAGTAGAGATTCTTAGAATCAAGATTTAATAAAGAATGTAGCAAGGACCCACAATTTGCTTTTCCATTTTGGAAAAGAGTTTATTCCCAGGTTTAAAATGCCCTCTATATTTTTGTTTTAATAACTATTTCCATAGGAAACCCTTTGTTCATATGTAGCCCAAAGTTAAACTTTCACTCTGTCTTACACAAATGGTTACAAATTTTTAATGAATAGAATTTCTATGCATTAAAAAATTACCATGTGACCATTTCAACATATATGAATGTAATATCTGCAAAATAACTGGTTCCAAATAGTTCAAGAGTATTACTCTCTAAAACAAAAATGCAAATTCTCAGTAAAAATTATATTTTTTCCTAAGGAAAGAAGTAATGGCTGAAAGAGAAAACAAAATGATCAGGAGTAACAACAAAAATTTTAAACATTACTGTCTGAGTGTTAAACTTGGATAATTTATTCATTAACTTTGTTAGCTGAAGAGAAAGTAATTTTGAGTAGTTACTGTAAAAGGTCAGATGGAAAACAAATTTCTTCTGTGTCAATAGGTTAACAAAATGTTATGCTTGCTGACTCTGTATAAAGAGGGCAACTCAGAGAACACTTGACCTGATTAGCTCATCAGCAGCCCATTAGGAGGTTTTTCTTGGAAAAGAAATGGGGAACCCATTTGCACCATTTTTATTACCTTCCAGATTTTTGTATGCTATTGTGTAGCAGATGTTTAGCTACTAGTGGGCACTTGATGTGCAATTATTGGAATATCTGAGTTCTGGTTTATAATTTCAGGAATCCTGATGGCTTCTGGGTTCCACAGGAAACGAAAAGGGCAAAATATTTCACACAAATGTTATCTTTGTGACTGACTTCCTTGTGTATATACAGATGATTCATTTTCTTCTGTACATCCCAAGATATAAGATAAATGGTATAAGCATTTATTTAATGTTTGTGCTTATCAGCCCCCAATGAGACTCTGAGCTTCTCAAGAATAAAAACTTTGCACCCCAAGTTCTAACACAGTGTCGAACACATTGTAAGTTCAATAAATGTTTTCTGAATGCATTTTTCTACTGACTGGATATTCACAAGTACTTTCAGAAGGAATTTATTCTTCTTAAAGTGGTATCAACAGGTATATCCATGTCTCTATTTTGCTTTAATCTTTCTCATTTATACACATTTCTCTACTTCTTTTAATGAATAACAATTAATTAGAGGGGCAGAAAACATCTAAACATCCACATTCCTAAGGCTTGCCTTAGGAATTTTCACTTCTGACGTCTTTTTTGATCCAAATGACTTCTCACGTTTATATATGCTGTTAAAAATGCTTGTGTACAGGGACTTCCCTGGTGGCACAGTGGTTGGGAAGTGGTTGGCTGCTCGGGAAGATCCCACATGCCTCGGAGCAGCTGGGTCCTTGCGCCACAACTACTGAGCCTGCTCTCTAGAGCCCGCAAGCCACCACTACTGAGCCCGCGTGCCACAACTACTGAAGCCCACGTGCCTAGAGCCCGTGCTCCGCAACAGGAGAGTCCACCGCAGTGAGAAGCCCACGCACTGCAGCACGAAGTGGCCCCCACTCACCACAACGAGAGAGCGCCTGCACAGAGCAAGGAAGACCCAACGTAGCCAAATAAATAAATTTTAAAAAACAAACAAACAAAAATGCTTGTGTACAAATAAAGGGCTAAGGCTTAAGTAGCTTCTTCCTGATGTTTAGGTTAAAAATAAAAATTGTTTGCATGTTTGAATGCTTTAGTTCAACTACTTTATCTTTTATTGTATAGTAGGTGTTTACATTCATTTCCTTGGCTAATGCTTTTCAATGGAATTCACCATTTAAATGTTTATTGTTATCTAAGTTTTTTAAATGACTATTAAAATTTTGGAAAATAAATCAAATCACAATGGACCAATACAAAGATTCTGAAAACAAGGAAAGATATAAGTATAGTGATTAATAATAGAGATAAAATCATTTTCATAAAAGATTTATACCAGGAAGTAATAGCCAATAAAACCACAAAAATCATAGATTCTATAAGTATATAAAGAAACATGACTTAAAAACAACTAACTACTGAGACAAAAGAGAAGTGGAAAAATAAAGAAAAGCTATAATGAAGTAAGTAATGTTATATAAATACCTTATACATTACTAGAAGTAGAAATTAAAACAGCAACAACACTGCAGGGGGGAAAAAATCACTTACGAGGTGGATAAACTTGAGAACTCTGAGGACATCTGCTGATCCAGGTAAGATGGAGCTGCAATTTAGATGACATCAAGGGGTGTGGAGAATATAAGTCAAAGGCCGCACTCCACCTGACCTGAGAAACCAAGTAGAAAATAAGCATATTAAACTGAAACTCTGAAGTAAGTAAATGCACCTTCCTAACCATAGCCCACACACAGGGAACTTGAGGAGGGTGGGATTTCATGCTGAGCAAAGTAGAGAGAGAAAAATAGAATAAGAAAAACCTACCTCTTAAAAATGGTAACCACCAGTGAGCTCTTGCATAGATTTTTAGCCTTAACTCATATCAACAGGGTAGTACAGAAAACCTCAAGGTAATTTAAAATTTAGTTTAAAGTGGTCCTGGACTGTTTATGCCTCTGGGGATCTGACAGAAACAAATGCAAATCCTGACTAGAGGAGACAGCTTCACCCTAAGCCTTAGGGAATCCATACAAATAATATTTCAAGGACAATTGATAGTACATAGTCAAAAGTAACAAAGCCCACAAAGAAATATGATACCACGAGTGAGAACAGAAACACAAACAGCCAGCAAAAAGAGATCCACAAAAATATCACATATTGGAATAAGGCAAAGATTATATAAAAAAACAGGTTTGCAACGTTTGAAGAAATAAGGTCAAGATTGAAAATATCTGAAGGGAAGTAGAAACTATAAAATGTGACCTACAAGATATGAAGAAAAATGAAAATATAATATCTAATTTAAAAAAATAAGTTAGATATATCTAGCAACAGACTGAATAAAGCAAAAGAGAGAATTACTGAACAGGAAAACAAACCTTAAACATTCACCCAAAATGCAGCAGAGTGAAAAAGATACAAGTAGACAGACAAAAGAAAATAGAGAGGGCAAAGATTAATTTGATTGGAGAAGGAGAAAAGAGATATATAACAAAGACAATATTTGAAGAAACAGATGACAATTTTCCAGAGTTGACGACAGATACACATTTTAAAAACTATAATAAACAATAGGTCTGGATAAAAGAGTTGCAACACAAATAATATGAAAGAGATTAATATCTGGAAAAACAAAGAATTCTAATAATCCTATAAGACATTAAAAATTGAGATTGAAAAGGAGTCCAAGAGTAAAATGGGCAAAGGATATGAACAGGCAACTCACATATAAAGAAACCTGAATGGCCAATATACATAAAAAAGGATAATCAACTCAGCAGTAATCATCACGATGCAAATTAAACTAATAAGATACTGGGCTTCCCTGGTGGCACAGTGGTTGAGAGTCTGCCTGCTGATGCAGGGGACACGGGTTCATGCCCTGGTCCGGGAAGATCCCACATGCCGCGGAGCGGCTGGGCCCGTGAGCCATGGCCGCTGAGCCTGCGCGTCCAGAGCCTGTGCTCCGCGACGGGAGAGGCCACAACAGTGAGAGGCCCACGTACCGCAAAAATAAATAAATAAATAAAATAAAATAATAAGATACTAATTCATACTCACCAAATTAGCAATAATTATAAAGTTTGAAAAAAACAAGTGTTGAAAAGATTGTGGGGATATCAGTTATTCTCATACACTGCTGATGGAAGCATGAATTAGTACAAGCCACTTCAGAGGAATTTGACAGTATCTATTAGAAGTCAAAATGCTCATACCCTATAACCTCAAAATTCCAACTTGAGGACTCTCTCCTAAGAAAAATATCATCATTGAGGCATAAGGAGACATTTACAAGCATATTAATTGCAATTTTATTCATAATAATGAAAAACTGAAAGAAAAGAACATGTCTATTGATAAAGGATATGATTGTGTATGCACGTATTTGATGGAACACTATGAAACAGTTGAAAGAAACTAACAAGATCTAAAGGTTTCAACCTCAATAGATCTGAAAAGCATACTGTTGAGTGAAGAAGTAATTAAGTCTCTAGAAGCATAAGCACCAAACTCATAACAGTCTGAGGCTGGGGTTTTGAGGAGAGAAAAACAGGTGAAGGAGTAGAGGCAAAGGGATTTACTGTTTCCAAAAGTGAATGTATTCATATTTTGTTGTGTAATTAAAAATTCAATTTTTAAAAAGTTTAAGAATGATTAAAAATTAGTAGGCATGACAACGGGAAGTATTCTTGCAAGAGTTTTCAACAATTGTTAAATTTAAATTCAAAGTGCCATCTTTTGCAATGTCATATAGCTTAAGTTCATTATTTGTTACCAGTTAAAGTACATTAATCTGTGCCCAAGGTCTTTGATTCAGCCTTGATTACAATAATAGTTGTAGTGATAGCTATGTGTTTCAATGTTATTTAATGAGAAACTTGGAGTTGTTAACATAAGTGCTTTTAAGAATGCAAAGCATTGAGCTAGCCATTACCCTTTGTTTTAGCTAGGTAATGAAGGAGTTTAGGGAATATTTATATACCAGTTACCATAAAATTTAAATTAAAGCTATACTTATTCTGTATCATGTTATCTTAAAGTGGAATTTCTGCCTAAGTTTACAGAGTAAGACAGCTTTCCTATAATATTCAAAGGTTTGTTTTTAATAATTTCAAGGACTGTTGATTTGTAAAATGTTGAGAATATAAATTCTTGTTATAGGAAACTACATTTTTTACAATGTTGGCCCTAGAGAATTGTCTTTGTTCACATAAAACTGTAAACCATGTTTGTCATAGTTTGCATTTGCTCACTAAGTTTACAATAGTTAAGCACTCCCTCTGACCTTCTCCCAACTCCAATCTTGTTACAATTAACTAAACCAGACTGGATGGCTTCTTTTGAAGAATGAAAAAATATATTTAAGACTTTCTTTCTTGCAGAATTTATTTTTGCGATTAAATAAAACAACTGATTCTAACATTACTTTGAAGGTACAAAGCAGAACCTTATTCCACTGCACATGATTCATCAGGAACATAATTTAATGTAAAAGTTATAAATGGAATATCAGGATGGCAATTAACAGCCTGCTTTTCTCTTTATAACAGTAAGATTTAAACATAAAAATAAAAACAAAAAAAATACTAGGGAAAGCATGAGGTTTAAAAAGAAAATCTCTTGAGTAGGAAAGGTCTGACTAAAACCATAGAAAAAAGATTGATGAATTCAACTATATATGAATAAAAAGTCTAAGTTGCCTAAAGAAATAAACAACATAAAGTACAAACAATAAACTGAAAGGAAACATTCACAATACAAATTACAAAGGGTTAATTTCATATAATGTATAAAGAATACAAAAAAATCAATAAGAAGAGTGAGCAAAGGTCATAAACAGATAACAGAAAAAGGAGTAGAAGAAGAACAGAAGAAAATACAAATTAATTTTTTAATAAAAAGAAAAACTACAGTGAGATACTAATTTTCATTTATCATATGAGAAAAAAATTTATGTTTGATAATAAGAGGAATCAGGCAATCATACATTGAGGTGGGAATTTCACTTGGTATAATCTGTATGAGAGCCACTGAGGAATGTAAAAATTTTAAGTGCACATAATTGTCATTCCTATATTGTCTTCTAGAATTAGTATTCAGGTATATTCAAATAATGTGCAAAGAATTATGCACAAACAATTCATTGTAACACTACTCATAATAACAAAAATCTGGAAACAAGCTAAATTCCCATCAGTAGAGATTGCTTAAACAAATCATGGAGCATCTCTACAATGGAATGTCAAACACAGCTATGGAATAATATCCAAGACATCTTATTATATGGATAAGGCAAGGTACAGAGCTGTGTGTAAAATATGACTGTGGGTCTGTTTTTAGATTATATATACATATGAAAATATGTACACATGATGTCACAGGAAACAAAAAAACTGATAGCAGTGGTAGGACTGAGGGGCAAGGGGAGGAGGGAGACTTATTTTTCATTGTATACTAGCTGATGACTTTTGAATTTTTTATCAAGTACACATATTACCTGCTTTAAAAATTAATTAATTAAAATTGGAGGGGTGGGGAAAGAATATGTAAGTACATGTAAATGCTTGATAAATTGGACAATTCGGGTACAATATAATTTTCTAGAAGGATTAACTAAAGAATAACCAAAACCCAGAAACTTTAGGGACATCTAGATAGGGTACATCTGGATAAATAAGAATACATAAATTCATCAGGATAGCAGTATAATTTTATAAATATGGAATTGCAGCTACATTTCTCTTCTGTTTAGTTGTGTTTAAGCTCTGGGGAGTTTACAAAGTAACAAGATATTGGTGGGGAAGGGAACAGAGAAGATCTAGTGATGCAATCACCTCTCTACACAGATATCCACTGAGACATCCACTACCCCAACTGATGTTCAATCATCTCCATACAGCTTAGTAAGAAGTTGTCCTCATTCCTATCTAAATGGCCACTTCAAGATCTGCAGTTCCCTCTGCTTTTTCCATACCATGCTAAGAATGCAACAGTCTTCTTTTTTCTCCTGCTTTCATGCCATGCCAAGAAATATGACTCTCTGTGAGACTGGCATGGCTCTATCTTCTTGCATACCAAGGGAAGAATGTCCAAGTCACCCTAGCCATCCTGTCTCCAAGAATCTCTAAAGTCTGACACCTCCCCAACTGTAAACCTGGAGAATAGGGAGCAGGGGCCTTCTATCCAGGACCCTCTAGATGCTCTGCTTTCATCAGCTCTCCTGCATATAACCTCTCTCCTCTCAGCTCTAGGGAATCTTTCTTTTGTCTGGTACAACAAGAAGAAGCCATGTTCTTTCTCAATGTTTCTCAGAAATATTTTGTCTATACCCTGGATCTTCTAACTTCACCTAAGGCTTAGTCTTTTAGAACACATAGTTTTTTCTACCATGTTACATCACTTACCTGTGGAAAGGGTCTCAGGGCTGACTTTCCTCTTGGTAGTAGAGATTCTAAGAAGAGAAGAAGAACAAAGGTTAGTAGTTCAATATTGACTATTAAGCCACCCCCAAAACAATGGGAGACAAAGTGGTTAGGACGGGGACTTGAACCAAAGCAGTCTGGCTCTAAGGCTTCATATTATGCATGCATTTTTAAAGTGACAATAGCCTTTCAAAGCCCCATTGCCTTTAGCATTCTTATTAATCCATGAAATCTGAATATGTAGCACCTCATACTTAAAGTATTCTGTTCTCCTGACCATTCCAGTTTCTGCTCCTTCTTTCTACAGGGAGGCAGCAAAACACAGTGTTTGCACCGTGGACCCTGTAGTCTGATACCTATATTCAAATTCTGATTTTCCACTTTTCAGCTATGTGACCATGGGTAAGTTACTCAACCTCTCTATGTATCAGTTTCCTCATTAGTAAAATGGAAATAATAACAATACATACCTCATAGGATTGTTGCAAGGATCTGACAGGTTCCTAAGTGAGTGCCTGCTACATACTACAGGCTCAGTAAATGTTAGCCACTATTGCTATTAGTAATAACAGCAGTGGTGTTATATATTATCATTATTATTACAGTCTGCACATGTCTACTCAGAAAATACCACTGGTTGTCCACTGCGCCTGCTATAGTCTATTAGAGCAAATTTTCATCTTCAAATGGATTCAGAAGTACTATTTGATGGACAACAGGGAAGTCAGTTGGAGATAAAGACTAATCCCCTGGGTGGTTTTAGAAAACAGATATAGAAGGCAGAATGTAAAAGACACTCTCTTACTTACTTTTACCCCTGGTCAGTGGAAGTTCCCTGTCTCCAGGGTAAACGACACAGTGGGAATGGGTAGAAATATGCTACCATTTACCAGCTCAATCCCACATTCTTCCTCAGGGCTCTTTCCACAATTTGATTACTAGAAATTCCTCCTGGTATAGGCCAGATCTTTGGCCAATATGTCTGGGGTTTAGTGCTACTATAACCTCATATTTCTTCTACTGTCTTCATTAATATTTTAAAGGGGAGCTGGGAGATTGTTTTTCCCCACCCTCCAGTTAGGAGGTTTTATAGGGGAGCAATAGTTATAACCTGAAATTTTTCACTAACGAACTAGACACCTATGAAATTAGTTACCACTCAACATTTCTTCCCACATGTTACGCTAACATCTGCCAACACGGCAATTCAGCCTTCTCAACATTTGACAACACAAAGCAAACAGATTGAAAAGGGAAATTTAGGTCTTGCAAAATGAAAAAGGATAGATAGTCACCTCAAAGAGAATAATTTGAATATAAAATATGAAACAAGCCTGTCAGGAAAAGTGGTAAAGCCTTTGAAAATGTTTGCCAAAAAATGACTCTATATGATCGCACTAAGAAAAGAAATAAAAAACGTGAAGAGAAATATGTCATATCCTACCAACATAATATTTGTCAGAAAATATATGCCAAAATACCAGTACTTGATCCATTCCTTGTTTTAAATCAATGCATAGTAATAAGCTAAATTTTGTAATGTGAAATAAAATAGTTTTAATGATTTTATTTCTTTTTCAAGCTTACGCCCTAATTAAATCTTTTTTCACTATTTATCTTAAAAATTTTGTCACTATTTAAAATGGACTCCTCTTAAAAGTAGGGTTTTTCTAGTACCCATTTTGTACTGATCATGGGGAGTTACTGCGTAACAAATGTGGAATCCAAGGGCTTTCAAACACAAACTAAGTCCCTATTCCTTGTTCTCATTTGAGAATCTCACACAAAATGAAAGTCTTCACTATTTTTCCAAACCTCAAAAAACATTGCACACAGAGAATTAGGTACAACGTGTTCAACTTTTGAACAATGTGTTCAATTTTAAATTATAAGGATGGCCTCAAAGTCATAATATTTGGAAGAAACACTAGACCAAACGTTGTAAAGCTACTTTCCATTAAAATGATTGTTACTATATATATCTCAATTATACATATCTGAAATGTATATGTTTAGAAAACTCAACATAGATTACAGGATTAGGGTTCACTATGGCTTTCTGGCTGGATCTAAGCCTACAGCAGAAATAAAGTTTCTTTTTTCCCTACACACTATCTCCATTAACACGAAAAAAGAAACTAAACAAATCCAGACTAGTTGCTTTGATTAAAACCATAAATTCAGAGTATGCTTTGCAGGCTAACTCTGTTGGGCTAACTATACCTCTGGGGGCCAGACATCATACCACGTGTCTCTGATTCAGATCTTTCCTTGTGGTTGACAAAGAAAAAGGTTCAACATAGTAACAAAAATGGGCTCAACCTTTCTCAAGTCCTGAAGAAAAGCAGGGCAAATTTATTCTTACAGCAAGTCACTTTTTAGATCTGAAAACAACCAGACTCCATGGTTTCTGGCCTAGTTCACTCTTCTCAGATTTCACCATCTAGAATCAAACATCTTTGCCAAAAACACCTTCTTCAATACCGATTAAACTAAAGCAGTATAGCAGAGAAGGAACTGAGACCGGTTCCAATGTTATTGTCTAAAAATTCATGACTAATACGGTAGAGGGTCATGAGTGAGACTAGAATAAAGAATCTAAGACAAACATGCTCAACCTGGGGTCCAAGGGTAGAATTTGAGAAGTTTGTAATCATGGCTGGGAGAAAAAAATTTTCTTTTCTTTTTCACTAGACTCTATCTTGACATTTCCCTCAAGTATAAATACAGGCAACACATCACAGCAACATTAGCTGCATCTGCAACTTTGTTACCAATAAAAATCACAAATATTTTATATCACATTATATTTACTACAGATACCTAAAAATATCATTTACATTTATCACTACTTCAAAACTATGGTAGTAGCTAACTTGTTACTAGAATTGCATGTGATGACTGTCTTCCTGCTCACAGATGCTCAGCATGAAACATGGATGACTAACTATTGAGCAACTCTGCAGTTCACAGTAAATCAGCCACCATATTTTCCAAATGTTTTCCCATGAAAGCCACATGTTTTCACATAGGAGACCCAGATCCATGTTGCTTTTCAGTATTCCCTATCTATAATTATTGGCCAATCACTGAAAGAGATGAATCAGGTACTACACCAGAGTTTAATGTTCTCATTTAAGCTAAGCAACAAAAGCCTTTATACTAATACTGTCTTTAATAAATAAAAATTTAACTTAGCTATATCTTAAATGCATTGTTTTATAATTTCATGTGTTAATAAAGTACATATACATTGATGCCACGAATTTAATACTTTGATAACTGTATATAAATATAATGTTCTCTTTGTAATTCAGTGTATCTTATTTTATTCATCTAAATTCCACCAGATGGCAAAGAGGCCCATTGGTACTAAAAAGGTCAAGAGATGTTGACTAACAGATCAAGGCCAAATCTGCTTTGCTCAAGGAAATTTGGGCCAACCAATACAGTCAATTCATATGATATAGGCCAAAAATGGTTTTTTCATTGAAATTTTATATAGAATCATCCTCTCCTATACTTCAAGTACAAGCACTAAACTTTTAAATCTGGTAGGTAATTGTTAATAAGCTTTTTTTTTGTTATCACTGCCATCACTATGAACCAAGGTTGGAATCCTAGAGAATATCTCATTTAAACCCCCTTCTCTAACCATCACCCAACATATTATATAGAATTGCAGACACCAAATTACTTTATCAATATAGAAATACAGGAAATCCCTGTCCATCCATCCTCAGTCGTGCTCAGTATCAGACAGCTTCATTCAATGCTGCCCATACCACCAGGTCTCATGTTAAATCATAGCTCCTAAAAGAGACAGTAAACAGCAGGAAGAATTTTTGAGGCTCAGTTTAGAATGGAGTGAATCAAAGAAGAATTCATTGGTATTCTGTTTACAGGACTGTTTTCCCATCTAAGGTCATTTACTGGTTTTTCCCCCACAATGCAATGCACATGTTCCTTTTACTCAGTAAAAGCCTTTCCCTCATTCATCTCTGATAAATGCTCCTGAACTCTTTCCATGCCACGTCCTGCCCTACTTCTCAATAAACCTTAGATTGTGACTTAAAAAGTCTTCAATTTACTGTGGCAAATTTTCCCATTTTTACAAATTTTTTTCTTCATTTCTTCTTTGTGCTTCTTCATCTGCTCAGTAACCTCTCTAAACCACACCCTGTTTCACTTGTTCATTCCATTACATATATTGACTGCATAAAATGTGCCTCAAGGGATTTACAGTCAGGGGAGAAATATAAAACAAAAATTATTTGGCAAAACACTGTGATGAGTGCTATAACACAGGATTATTTAAAGTGCTATGGAAATACAGAGATTGTACAGATTGGCTCTGTTGGGGAAGGTCAGTCAGATTTGGTTCACAGGGAAGGTAATCTCAGAGATAGATCTCAAAGAAAATGGCTTGAAAACACAGAACATACACTGTAATCAGTGATATAACAGGAGAAATATTTTCTGTGCTAAAAAGACATGTCTAAGGTTGAAAGGGCTCTGAAATCAGAGAGAGAGAAAGGTAGTTCTATGTAAGAATAAAACTCAAGCTAGGCAAAATGACGTTGAACAGAGAAGACAGAACTTGATGTTATTCTTGACTCACTCCTCCTGAAACCTCACTAAAATGGGATTAAAGGAGTTTAAGATTAAAAAACTCACAGATATAGAGAATAGCAAAGGAGATGAAAGCAACATAAATTTGGAAACAAGAAAGCAGATGGACAAGTAGAACTGACTAGCAGACCAGAGAAAACTGAAACCAAACTGCCCGTGAAGGAAGCCCAGAACTAATATAATTTGGGCTGCAGAATCCAAGAGAGTCTTAGTAACTGGATTCCTCAGGTATCCCAGAAAGTGAATGTATTGGTGGAGCTAAATATGGGTGAACTGATTGAAAAGTCGGAACAAGAAGCAGTAGGATTCCTGGGCCACCAGCTCACTCCACCAGCTGAATGACTATTTTTCCCCAACGTTGGCAGAAGTTTGAAGGCTTTCTTCTCTTACATACTGAA